TCAGTTCCACTTTTCCTTGTTCATCCCTGCACTGCACTGCACTGCATTGCACTGGTTCATCCTCTGATTCAACATCCTCCTCTCCCTCCTCCATCACCTTCCATGTGTTCATCAACATCCATTCCTCGTCTTCTTTATTCTTACTTCCTAACACGGTTATGCAGGTTCCCCTCCACATCTCTTTCAGAGACTTCCAGTGTTCCTCCACTCAGGTTTCATCAGGGATGATGATGATGCTCAATGTCTCCCCTTTTGTCTAGATGGCTTACATGGAGATGTTTCTTGTAGTTTCATGCTTCAGTTTCTGTTCTGGATGTTCAACTCGAACCATGGTCTATCGCCAGCTTCCTTGAATTCAAGGCTTTCAACTTGATTTTGAAGAAAGGTTGCTTGAATTAGATGGTGAGTGGTGTGAACCTACATCTGCTACCCTTCTTCATCTGATCTTGTGTCCAGTAGGCTGCATCTCCACTTTCTTCATTTTCAGATGAAGTCGATCTGATTTCTAGTGTAGTGTGTCTTGGTGTCTGGTGAAATCAAATCCATGTTGCTCGCTTTGTCAATATCCTTATGCTTGTTTGTACACACTGCCTGACTCCAATCCCCAAATCGTTGAATGAGCAGAAATCTGCAAACAATTCTCCATTCTCATTCATCACTTCACCGAGTGCCTCTCCACCCATGATCACTTCTCTTCCTGTGTTGTCCGCTCCTCCCAGTTTAGCATTCATGTCGCCCCACACATTACAATTTCGATGTCGCCAACTGGCGTCTTGTCTAGTACTAATTTCAGTTGTCTGTAGAATTCATCCTTCTTCGCTTCTCTTCCTCATCTGCATTATTTGTGGGTGCATAGCGTAGCATTGTATGATAGTGACTTTCCTTCTTCTTGAGTTGAATCTTGCTGTCATGATCCTGATCGCTGGACAGATTGGTGTCCTCTGTATGAGAGAGAGCCGTTGATGCTCTTCAAAGGGACATCATGATAGCCACTCCACAACTCAGTGTGGTATGTTCGTGGTTGTTGTCTGGGTGACAATATCGAAGTAGATTATTGACTCGTCTCCAGTTGACAGTTTCGAGAGTCCACTTCCATTCCACCTGCCTTCTCAGATTCCTAGCCCAGCACTTCTTTGTTATACCTTCTCATCTCCTTTGCAATCTGGACATCCTTACTAGGTTCAGACATGGTGTGGACATTCCATGTCCTCATCCTTACTTTCACTTTTATCGACAGAAGAGAAGACATGTTGGTGGATTATCTCGGACGTGATCCTTTGTGTGACCTGGTTTTACACATTGTCAGTAAATCACTTCAAATTACGGTGCATCATGATTTATGTTAATCATTTTACTCACTTAATCTCATAACTTAGTCTACAGATCTGGGAATGCTGTTGTGATTAAACTTTACTGTGATTGTCATCATCTTCAGTACATAAATACAGACAATACCTTTTAAATTTGGCTCCGTAATTAACCTAAATGATATAACGTTAATATCTGTGAATCTAATTTCAGAAAAAAGGAACAAAAGATGTAGTATTTTGTCAGCTAGTGGTGTGCAGTACAGCAGCTAACAAGTGATGAGACTGTGGAAAATACGAAGAATGGTATTAACAATAATGCTATTATGTGTCATCTCTTTCACGGCTTTTTTCATTGCAATTCGATCAGCAGTGAGTCACATATACTCTGTGTACCTTTATGACACTGCCTAGGTGCTCAAGTCTTGGTAGGTGGGTCATGGTTCTAACCTATGCTCCACTGGTTAAAAGTCTACAAACAAGACCAGTAAGTTATTGCTCCAAACAAAGAAAGAAGTAGGAAGATTCCATGGTATTTTTAGGTAACATTACTAGGAACAATATAACTCAGAGGCATTGCGTAAGTTATATCTACCAGTAAGACTTCAGGAATAGCAGTTGTGTTTTGATTATATATAAATATATATTCTCTGGCACTACCACCAAAGTTATCCAGCACTTCAAAAGATGTTTAACAGTGAGATCTTGTCTCACGTATCATTTCTTCTCTCACAAATTGAGCAACTATGAGCAACTAACCTTTCCTTTTGTCATACGAGACTAATTCTCTCATATCACCTAATTTATGTGTATTTTTTGAGCAACCGGTATTCATGAAGAATATCATGGTCATTATAATTTTTAGGACATGCTGATGACATAAGGCTCTGTATTTCAACTTTCGTGTAGAATGCGACTGCACTGAGTAACTAGCATTTACAACATCGTGATCTTTTGACTGCTACTTTATCGAAGCGTTCAATTGTCCAAGGTTCGCATTTGTCAGTTATTTTCTCGAGACTCAGGGGAAACCTGGGGTCAGTAAACAGCCGTTTCTTCCTGATAGCGAATTCCTCAGCTGTGCGCTCTCGTGACCCCACCAGAAGTCTATCATGAGATCTTCAAGTTCTGGGTCAAGCCCGTTACCACTAAGCCACTGGGTCAGAGTCTAACGGTCTACATTTACCTAGTCCTGTTGGTTCAAGATATATCGCGACCATCATACAATCCCATCTTGGAGGATTTGTCCTTACTTCTGACTTGGTTTACCCTATGTATCTCATCCTCTGACTAAAAATCTTATTTGGAAGCAAATCTCGAATGAGCACTGAACAGAAGTTCAATGTGGAGGTTTGTGGGGATTTATTCATGTCAGTTCATTATGAATACCAACCTGAAATCAAAAACTTCTCATGAACCTTCACACTGAGATAATGCAGAGATTATGAGATATCCTAGGATTATTCAAGCTAAAACTTTGGGTCTCCTATATCGATGATAATTTTGTTACGATTCACTGAAATGAACTGAAATTGCTCATGCATCAATCAGTAGCATTTTCAACGGCAACGGCAAGTAATTCGCAACTGAACGGGAAAGAAGCTTAAAACTACCGTTTTTAAGTGTTTTGACGATAACCTGAGCTGATGAGGAAAGTTCGCAGCAAAAGTATGTAGTATATCACAGAACAGTGAACAAATCCTGAGGTGCAGTCACAACAGTTCAACAACACATAATCAATAGTGCACCGAAGTCGCTCAGTAGATTGAAAACACACTGTTGTATATTAACTTTACGAAGAATGAACGCAAAGTATTTATCTATCTAGGCAGGACGGGTATCCTTAAGATTCCACCAAAATATGCCTCGAAATTCACCATCAGCTAAAAGGTTAACCCTGGAAACTAACAGACAAATTGTCATACCACTCATGACTATTGCCTAAAAAATAACTTCACTGTTGAAATTTCTTAGAACCTACGTAGCTTATAAACCGACCAAATTTATCCATTTCATGTTAAACAGTCCAAAAGAAATACATCTGCAAAGGATGACAAGTTCAGTGTTAGATTAAACAGTAAATTGCAGCAACTGTAAAAAATTGTTTATTTTTCAAACTGAGTATCCTCTTTTTGTTCATCTGCATGGAATTAAAATGGTAGTTGACCATCACAGTGTATCTCTGTTCATATCAGTACATGCAGACAACTATGGAGATAGATTCATCTGGGAATAAGTTGCGATCTCAGAAAAAGTGAATACATCGAACATGGATTGGTCACTGGAGGGGGACCAACTTCATGTTGTGTAACTTTAAGGATTGACGAGTGCCAAAGAATACGAAACCTAGGTTCAAAGCTTCTTGTCAACTGTCTCCATTCAACTTAAATGTATCTCAGAGAATACGCAGAAGGCCAAGAAGTTTTTGGAAGCCTGTCACTTATTTCAGAGATCAATAAATACATCGATATTTATCCATTCCATCAACCAATAAAAAATGCGAGATACAAAAGAAAGGTGAAATTTCACACCAGTAGGATAGTCAATTGAAGTAGATGCGCAAACAACGATAAGGTTACAGTAGACACAACTAATCACGCCCAAAGTAATCAGAATTAAGCCACACACATGAAATAACGACGAGTATTCAACCACATAGTACAGTAGTAGGAAGTGTAGGAAGGTAGCCCCACCTATTTTGTGAGGGGGAATGAGACTACCTAGCTGACAAAACCTTGATATGTGAAGCGATGTTTGAACCCAGACACCCACCGGTCCGAAACCAACTGCCCAAACCAATAAGCTATATCTCTCTGTTGACATACGTTATATCCTAATATCTGATGATAATTGCAGTGAAAAACAATATTTTTACGACGATTTGTATGAACAGTTCATGCTTCCTGTTATTAATGGATAAAAGATTCTTTGATATATGAAAGTAACTCCAAAGCAGCTACACTCATTGACCGGCACGATCACCTAAAGTGGTAATATCTTTGTTGGATCAGTTCGATTGAACGAGATCATGCTGAAATCTAGGTAGTAATCAAATGTTTCAGTGTCTAATCCATGAGATAGTTTTTCTATCTGACAATTGGCCTAGTAAGGATACTTTAAATCTCTTCGATATGTTCTTTTAAACAAATTTCATTTTCTTTAAATTCCTTTTATTCAAATCTAATCTGTAATTCATTGACAAACTTATCAATTAAAACCGAAGAAATAAATAGTGGTTTGTCAATGATGGATTGGGGCTAGCAGTGGAATTCAGAATGCGCAGTGGGAACAACATCACTCACTGGGAAGCAGGTACATCCAGCTGACGAGTCCCAAATAAGGCGAAATGCTCATCCTGGATTCCACTGCTAGCCACGATCCATCATTAACATCATTAGATGGCAGGCAGTATCGAGTCATCTGCACAGGAGCCTATATGCCAATAGAGACCGATCAATTCGGTCCAATCAACAACGGTATCATATAAAAACAATTATACTAAATAGTGATTTGATTTATTTTAAAGATGGCGGTCATTCGCATAAGTATTTCAATTCACTATACAAATGAAGTATAGATATAAGAGACAGAAAATCATGTAGACAAACAAATATGTTCGTTTTCAGTTAATTAAAACGCAAATGAAAATTTAACCGTTTACCATTTTATCAATTAAGGAGCATGTGAATAATAATTCACATAAACATTTGTCAAATTACAATAAAGATAAACTGAGTTTTTGTTGGATAATTTAAATGTTCCAACCAACAAACATTTAATTCTTAATATTTCGGTGTTCGCCATAGTAAATAACACTTTTGTTTTAGTCGAAATTGAAGTGAATGTTCAGGTAAATGTGAATATGAAATCCAATATGATCCATCGACTATTACAACATGCCATGATGGATCAAATGTTTTATCAAGCCATTGTTTTAATCCTTGTGATAAGTCTTGATCTGATAACTTTTTATCTAATAATTGTCGAACTTGATCGAATAATTGATATTGATCTTCAATTGACATATTTTGTGAAATTATTTGGAAATCTGGAGGTAATCCTTTATTGATAACACTTTTTCGAAGTGTACGCCTACCAGAAAAATGGTAATAAAACAAGAAATTTTATAAATTACATTAATATTGATGACAATTTTCTGAAAATCTGGAAACATGATAAATATAGTGAGTTTTAATTGTTTAGTGGTCTTTAAGCTTCATGGAGAAGTAAATCCTGATGACGTCACCTAGCTTGATGGTGAATCATCCAGGAACAAATATCGGAGGTCGGATATTGCGAATGAGATCATCACACAACGCATAAAAAGAGTCTTGCATAAAGCATTCCCAGCCGCTAAATTATGTCCCGTCTCCTACAACCACCCGATTCTAGGGGCAAGAAATAAAGACAAAATGCCTGATTCTGCCACCACTATGTGCATTTGTCAATTCACCTGCTCCTGTGAAGCTAGTTACATTGGGCGTACAATGAGGCAGTTCCATTGTCTAATTTCTGAGCACCACCCATCATAGTTGAACAAGGGACAAATTAGAACTATGAAGAGCTCCATACTAGCACACTTAGTTGACACAGGACATCAAGTGGTTACTGGAAAAGTCTTCAAAATTATCCATCAGATTCCAATTAATTTACCTCATGGATTACGCACTCGGTTAGTTCACATAGCAGAGGCGATTGCAATTCACCTTTACAAACCTAGCCTTTGTATCCAAAAGAAGTTTGTTCGATCACTTTCATTACCGTGGTTGTCAACATGATGTAACTTCTAGGTTTACTTTGTACACCTTTTCCCCTTCTTGTTTCTATCAATATTCATATTTCCAATCTTAGTAACTCTATTGATTAGTTAACCTCACCCGGTTAACTAGTTCACTAGTTACTAGCCGGTCCTAAGCCCGGGTAAAGAGGGAAGGTTGGGCATAGGGCCAGCAACCCTACTCCAGAAAACAGATCTAACCGCTAAACAAACTTCAAAGCACAAACGATATATAAAAAATAATAACAAAATTATTCCCCCCTGGAATCGGAGAGGCGAAATGACGCCAGTTGGTCAAAGCCGTAGGGAAGCCAATTGACCCGGCCGATGTGTCTTCTCTCGATGAAAGCGAAAGTAAACGTGTGGACATGGAATGTCCGCACGATGTTTGAACCCAGCAAGGCAGCCCAGATTGCAAACGAGATGAGAAGGTATCACACTGAATTGCTTGGAATTTGCGAAAGCAGATGGAATGGGAATGGACTCTCCAAACTGTCAACTGGAGAATCAATAATCTACTCCGGTCACTCAGACGACAACCACGAGCACACTGAGTTTTGGAGTGGCTATCATGATTTCCCCAACAGCATCGAAGGCTTTCATGCAGTGGGAACCAGTCTCCTGCAGGATCATGACAGCAAGGTTCAACTCAAAAGGAAGGAAGGTCACAATCATACAGTGCTATGCACCTACAAATAATGCAGATGAAGAGAAGTGAAGAAGGAGGAATTCTACAGACAACTTCAATCAACACTGGACAAGACCCCAGTTGGCGATATCAAAATTCTAATGGGCGACATGAATGCCAAACTGGGAGGGGATAACACAGGAAGAGAACTAACCATGGGTCGAGAGGCGCCAGGTGAAATGAATGAGAATGGAGAATTGTTTGCAGAATTCTGCGCATTCAACGATTTGGTGATTGGAGGCAGTGTGTTCAGGCACAAGGATATCCACAAAGCGAGCGACATGGATTTCACCAGATGGACACACTAAAAATCAAATCGACTTTATCTCAATCTCAAGAAAATGGAGACGCAGTCTACTGAACACAAGGTCAAGAAGAGGAGCGGATGTAGGTTCACACCACTCACTATCTAGTGCATGCAACCTTCCAAGTTGAAAGTCAAGTTGAAAGCCTTCAAGGAAGCTGGTGATAGACCACAGTTCAAGTACAACACTCGGAAACTGAAGGATGAAACTACAAAGGAAGTGTTTACGTCAGCCATCAAGACAGAATGAGAGATATCGAGGAACATCCCTGAAGAAACTTGTGTCGAAGAACACAGGAACTCTTTGAAAGCTATGTGGAAAGAAACTTGCAAAACCGTGTTAAGAAGGAAGAAGAAAGAAGATAAAGAATGGATCTCGATTGATACATGGAAGCGGAAAGAGGAGAGGGAGATGGCAAAGCAGAAGATAAACTAGTGCAAGGATGCTCAAGGACAAGAGAAACTGAGTACAATGTATAAAACACTGGACAAAGAAGTGAAGAAGAGTGCTCGGAAAGACAAAAGACACTACTACGAAACAGTGGCAAGTGAAGCAGAACAGGCTGCAGGTAGGAGAGATAGAGAGAGACCTGAAAACGTATCAAGTAACTAGGTTACTATCTAGGAGGGAAGTGATCAACGCAGACGAAACCAATAAAAGATGATGAAGGAAATTTATTTATCAAAGAAGAGAAACAAAGGAAACAATGGGCCGACCACTTCAAGAAGCTCTTCAATCAACCACCACCACCACCACCTGCATTTCGTCCAGAAATACCACCTACAGCCGCTGAACTACAAGTGAACATAAATCCCCCAGCAAAAATGGAAGTCCTGAACGCCATAAAGCTACTGAAATGTGGGAAAGCAGCAGGACTAGATGAGATACCACCAGAAGCACTGAGAGCAGACGCAGAGACAACAGCAGACATGCTCACACCACTATTGCAGAAGGTGTGGAAGGAAGAGAAGGTACCTGGCTATTGATTGGAAGAAGGGTTACCGTGTCAAACTACCGAAGAAAGGAGACCTCAGTGTTTGCAAGAACTGGCGCGGAATCACTCTCCTGTCCACCCCAAGTAAAATATTAAGCCGCATCATCCTGAAGAGGCTGAAGGATGCGCTAGATTCAAAACTACGACCGCAACAGGCTGGCTGGATTCAGCAAGTATAAATCATGTGCAGACCAAATTGCAACGCTACACTACTCATCATCATCATCATACAACAGAGTATAGAATGGCAGTCAACTCAACTTCAAATTTATCGACTTTGAGAAGGCCTTTGACAGCGTCGACCGAGAGGTAATTTGGAAACTGCTTCAACACTACGGAATACCGCAAACCTTTATCCGCCTCATTAAACAACCATATGAAGATGCCACATGCCAAGTAATTCACAATGGCAAGCTCAGTGATGCTTTTGAAGTGAAGTGAAGACAGGAGTGATTGTGGTCGACTGGATCATGCAACAGAAAACAGTGAGGAGCGAGAAGAGGGGGATACAATGGCTGGACGACGGAAAAGAACCTAGAAGACTTGGATTTCGCCAGTGATGATTGTGTCTGATGTCACACAAACTTGAAGATCTACAGGCGAAAACTAATAAGTTGACAGAAGAGAAAGCGAAGAATGGACTTCAAGTGAATATAGAGAAGACACAGGTGATGAAGATACCCAACCAACAACACCAACAACAAACTCCAATCACCATCAACGGGAGAAACGTAGAAGAAGTAACCTCCTCCACCTATCTAGGAAGCACTGGTGGTGGCGCAGACGAGGATGTCAAAGTCAGAATCGGAAAAGCAAGACAGGAGTTCATTAGCCTGAAACCAGTGTGAAGATCTTCTGCACTCAACTCGGCATGTTGAACAAGATCCAGATTTTCAATACCAATATCAGTCAAGTCAGTGCTTGTGTATGGTTCAGAGACTTGGCGGGTTACGAAAGGGATTTCCAACAATTTACAGACAATCATCAACAGCTGCCTACGCTGGCTCAATACTGAAGATCAGATGGATTGCCAGAATAATCAGAATAAGCAACAAGGAGCTCTGGCTGGCTGGCTGACAACAAACCAACCAACAACCTATCACTCAACAAATATGCAGAAGGAAGTGGAGATGGATAGGATTGGGCATACACTGAGAAGGCCGATTGGCGACATCATGCGTCAGGCCAGCCAGGCCCTCGAGTGGAACCCCCGTGGGAAGCGACGAGTTGGACGTCCTAGGGTGACATGAAGGAGATCGTGCGAAGAGGAAATGAGAGCTTGTTGGCTGTCGTGGGACCAGGTTCAAAAGATTTCGGAGAACAGAAATCACTGGAGACGTGCTACTGAAGCCCTATGTTCCATTGGGAACCCAAGGGACTAATATTAATAATAATAATAATTGATTAGTTACATCATTATTTCCGAAACATCACCACGTGATTGGTAATTCGACTAAACTGTAAGAGTATGCATATTAATGTAGAGCCCAAGATGGAGACCTAATTGAAAAGGAATATATTTCTTCACTCAATCAGTCTTTTTCTAAATGTCTAAATGGGAATATTCAATGTATTACTATTATCATGAACTACAGATCTTCTCTTCTAATTCACAATAAATTCTATAAAATAATGGATGTAAATGGCAAGATTTGGTTAGCAGAATATTTTTCTTTTTCATTGAATCCCTCTTCATTTACTGATTTCTTAGTTAATGTTAGTCAGGAACTCTCAGGAGGCTGCATACATATAAGGTTAATATCAGTTGAAACTAATCAAAACTAGGCGTTACCAAATAGATGTAATGGCTTTTCGTAGCCTTTGTCAGTGAACAGTGCACACAATATACCACAAATGATGATTGAATTCAGAATCCTTGAACTTCATGAAGAAACAGTCACCGCTTAATTCATGAGGTCTGATTTTTTAATCTGTTCCACCAATAGTTTGAATATTCATGTAAATATAACTTGGGTGTGTAATATAACGAAGAGTGACGAAGAAGGCAGAAGGAATAAGTTGTTTAATTATATTATCAACCTTCATCAACTGAGGTTGTTCATGCACGTGTTATATATACCTAAACACACACACACATATATATATTATCCCACCAAGCTGAATTATTAAAAATGGAGTGAATAACAAATGTGATTGTTCAAGGTATCTTTCTAGTTGATGAATATGCAGTCCCTCTGGATGGGGTTTAACAAGAAACTCAGACTTGTGGTTGCAGACTTTATGCAATGAGTCCAAAGTCAACCCTAATGCAGAAGATGCATAAACTTACAATCTCCTAGTAATTTATAATAAAACTATTATTCAGTATATCTTACTTCCTTTCTTACAGTTTCAGAGTGTAGTTTCTCTGGCAGTTTTCATCAATCACTAAAATTATCATAATAACCACTCAGTTGGTCATACCAATTTGGATTCTTTTTCAGTACACAAATCTTAGAAGTGACTAGTTTGTATCGATGAAGAAAGTTATCCCTTTCAGTATAGTGTCAATGAAGAGCTTGCTGACTGAATGATACTACTTAAAATGACAATATTTTTTCATCAGCCTCTAAGTACATGAGTGATGTTATCTTTTACTGTAACAAGCTAACATACATATGTACCAGCTCCCCTTTCTGATATTTTAACCATGGGTTACTATATAAAGGAAAATGGTTTTATTAAATTTCAGTTTGTGAATTTGATTTACAGTGGTAAACATTCTCTGAGCCTTTAAGCTCCTCAGTACTTGCTATGTGTGAAATACAGCGAAAAAAGATGTCATTTTCAGAAGGGAATGATAATTTCGTGTTCATGGAGGTTCAAGGTTTATATGGGGTCTACAATTTCAAATCGATAAACACAGGTAACCAAGAGCGGTGTAAAAAAATATCACAGTTGCATATTGATCTATTGTTGAGAAAAGAATAAGAAGGTTGGAAAAAATGCAACCGAGTGAGGTAAGTAATAAGAGAAATAGGAGGAAAATAAATAAGACAAGGCTGTCTACTATCATCCATGGTATTCCTGATTGTAGTCGACTGGATCGTGCAGCAAACAATGAGGAGCCAGAAGAGGGGGATACGCTGGACCGGGGAAAATATCCTAGAAGATTTGGATTTCGCTGATGCCTTGGGTCTAATGTCCTGTCGCACAAACTCGAAGATTTACTGGCAAAACTAACAAGTTGACAGAAGAGGTGAGGCAGCGAAGACGGGACTTCAAGTGAAGGTAGAGAAGACACAGGTGATGAAGATACCTAACCAACAACAACAGCAGCAACAAGCATCAATCAGCATCAGTGGGAGATACTTAAAGGAATTAGCCTATATCACCCATCTAGGCAGCACCGTTTCAACTGCAGGCGGTGTCACAGATGAGGATATCAAAGCAGCCAGGATAGGAAAGGCAAGACAGGTTTTCATTAGCCTCAAACCGGTGTGGAGATCTTCTGCACTCAGCATAAAGCTTGGGCAAGATCCGGATTTTCAATACCGATGTTAAGTCAGTGCTTCTATATGGTTCAGAGATTTAGCGCGCTACGAAAGGGGTTTCTAACAATCTACAGACAATCATCAACAGCTGCCTACTCTGGCTCAATACTGAAGATCAGATGGACTGGCAGAATAATAAGAATAAGCAACAAGGAACTCTGGCTGGGTGGCTGGTAACGAACCAACCAACAACCTATCAGCCAACAAATATGCAGTGGAAGGAAGTGGAGATGGATTGGGCATACACTGAGAAGACCATTGGGAGACATTACGCACCAGGTCAGGTCTTCGAGTGGAATCCAGATGGGAGACAACGAGTTGGGCGTGGGAGGCGACGGTGATATGGAGGAGATCATGTGGGGAAGAAATGAGAGCTTGTGGGCAGTCGTGGAGCGAGGTTGAAAAGATTGCGAAGAAGAGAGTGGAATGAAGATGTGCTACTGAAGCCCTATGTTCCATTAGGAATCTAAGGGACAAATAATAGTTATAATTTAGATTTTTACAAAATGAGATTATGTTTACATATGTTCACGACTGTAACCAATACTTGATGAAAGTGAATACAAAATTAGAAGTTGAGTACTATGGCAGAATGTATTTCGATTTTTTTCAGTTCATTTATTAGATGTATCACACAATGGAACAATAATATTTACTCGATAACGCTGAAGACAATGTACTGCCCACTGTTATTTTAGTGACGATAAGCTATATCCAAAAAGCGATATTATTTCAGTATGCAATGTATCTACTATATCAAAAGGAATGGAACTGAAGGGAAATAATTAGACTTAGTTGTGTTGTATTCTCTGAGCTAGGTGGCTTAATCGTGAAGCTTCTATTGTTTTTCTTCATAACGTCATCAGTTGTAATTTCAGTATGAAGTGAGCTTTCAGTAGCTCGCCCTGACGAACTGGTTTGTGATTAGTTATTCCCTTTGATTGTTGTGTCATTGACTGTATTGACCTCTAACCTTCCTGTTGTTTATCATTTTTCTCATTGGTTTATAGATTCGATCTGTGTTTGTACATTTGATGATTAATGACTCAGTTGAATGGCAAGCTTCTAGGAATTTTTTGATATGCTTTGTGCTTCCTCTGTCGAAAATTTCTACATCGTCAAAATTAAATTCATGTCGTTAGTTATCCATGTGCACTGAAATGAGTGATGAAATGTCTGGACTTTTAATGGACAACTGGTGCTTATGTAAACGAGGGAGAAGAGGGAGATCACTTTGTCCAATGTAGTGTTGATCGCAGTTGCTGTAGTTGATTTTGCGAATAATTTTCCGTCTATCGTCTTTATCATTTCAGTTCTTTTGTTTTGAATAATATAGTTTAAAGGGGGTTTGAAAGTTACTGAAACCTCACACTCTATGTATTTTATCGCTGTATGTCATAGGAAAATGGTTACATACTTTTATCTGAATGAATATAAACGCTGAGTTTTGTTTAAATGAAAACAATACAGATAAGTACTTACGCCTGTTCAGGTTTCACACCGAGTACATCACAAAACTTCTCAAACGTTATGATACCAGTATTCCCAGGATCAAATAATGTTTGCCATCTCTATTAAAATAACAATGAAATGAAGAATGAAAAATTCATGAATAAAAATTGTAATATGCGTTATTTTATTAAATAACGAAAACATTTTGCATGAAATGATTTAGGTGAATAATAAACACCAATTTTCTTCATTTTTGGCAGTTTTTCATCAAATGTTTCTTCGAGACAAATTCGCTGGATCGAGCCATAAGTTACCTGCGAAACACCGAGTTTACATAAGGACATGACATTGCACCAAAAGAATAGGTTGTCAAGAACTGATTACGTTGTAAACTATACAATTAGGAGTAGTTTACTGAGATATTGACCACGATAATTTAGTACTTCTGCATCATAGTTATGATGTGGCCATTGACGTAACTGACATAGTACTGTGGTGCACTGTATTTCACTGCCAATATGACAGACCTCAATTAGTGTTGAGTACTACAGGCCAGAAAACTACATTAGTTACTCACTGCTAACCGATCTCCAAAAACAACTCAGTCACATCGAAGACCAGTTGTTGTCTGAATAATCTAGCTGTTAAATTTCTGACTTCAGGAGTGGGTGATACAGGTTGAAATCATCGAGGGAACATCTATTTCTTAATAGTAGCAGATACACCATGTCGATTTGTGCCTGCAGGCATGAAACCTAAGTCCACTGCTTCCTGCTAGTTGATTGTCAGCTTACAACACCGAAGCATAATGCACCTGATGTTGCATCACTTAGCCAGGTGGCCATACTGCCAGCTGGAGTCGGTGGAGAGCACTAAGAAATAGACAGCTGATTCAGTTACCTACTAATATCCAGTTAGTGTTCTGTTTTGTCTCTTCATTAACACTCCTATAAGTAAGTGTTTCATAATACGGTTTGCCTAGATGGATCTATGTTTGGAAATCAATCTGTAAGCTGGAAGGCGTCTTAAACAACTTGTTGTTAAAGTATTTATTCGCATTGCTAGGAGATAAGAAACATTAGTTGTGGAGAAATTAGAGTTTACCGAAAGTCATATACCCACTCTACCGATGAGTAAGAACGAAAAGAAAACCACTGTCGAATAGTGATTTCACTTAACTGTTTTACCAGTTCAACATCTCATACATTGCACCAAGATTATTATTTCTTGATAATTTTAGTTCTGCATTATTATACTTGATCAAATTGATCGACCTCTCTTAGCAAATAGGCAACTATGCGAATACTTCAATGCTGCCTGATCAATTCGATCCAGTACATCAGCGAATAATAACAAGTAACAAGAAATAACATTAACTAATATCTGTTGTACAAGAGGTGTCTATCGTGCACTAGTGACCTGGTGGGTAATGCTTTGGAGTTTGAAATAATGCTTACGACGTTCGAGTCTCAGTGGAGACAGTACCCATGCTTGAAATTCAGATAAATCCAGCTGAAGAGTTCCAAGTAAGACAAGACGCGCATCCTGGTTCCCGATGTTACTCATAACTAAGTCAAATAGCGCACCAGAAAGTTTAGTTGCTTAACTTGTTGTTATGTTGCCCATTAATCACTGACGTAATTTATTCACCTCTCAACAACCAGACAGTTTAACCCTTCACAAGCCTATTTGATCATTTTGTGGTATATACTGAATCTCAAAGTAGGAAACAAGTAGTTTACATAAACTGATGAAGCCTTGAATACTTCACAACAAAAGCTTCAATCTTGTTCTAATGGAAGCACTTTTGAAGCACAAAAAATGTAGTATCTGGCATACTTAAACTACACACTAACTATTGCCTCATATGATACACTGTTAGTAGTAATGATTAGTTACTGATACGAGGTGTGGCTATTGGGACTAGTTCTCAGCAATGCCAGGTCTTATATTGATATTGTCCGCCTTCTTCTATTGTCAGAAATTAGTAACGAATAAGTTCGAAAAATCGCTCCATTAAAATGTCTGTTTCTTTTTCCTTCTATTCTTTTTTCGCACTTTTTTAGAAAGACAGTCGCGATAATTTCAGTTAACAATGTTACTGTTATGTAGGAAAATTCTTCAACACAAAAGCGTCAATATAAATTATGTACAATCAAAAGTGTAATATGATATCTGTTCTCTTAGTCTCGGTTTATTCTAATAATCTGAGAAATTGGCGTATCTATTTATGGAAAACCTTCATTACTGGTAGGATTCAAACCAGGAGATTTTCGGTTATCCACCCCTGGTTCTGTTCACTGCTAATCCTATCTTGTTTTTGATTTTAGTAACAGAAAGTTTCTTTAGTTGAATGAAATTGTTTCAGTCAATGTAAGTGTTGCTGACCACTTACGGAATACACTTTCTAATACGTAAACATAAACTACAGCAAAGTGTTTACTAGTCAGGTTGTACTAAACAGCATATTTAGCTCAGCTGAATAACTTCATCATCATCATTACACCATCAGTATATTCAAGCAGTAATCTGACTAGTAGTGATGGATAGTTGCTAGCAGTGAAATCTAGGATGCGCATTTCGTCCTATTTGGAACTCGTCAGTTGGATGTACCTGCCTCCCAGTGAGTTATGTTGTTCCCATTGGGATTCGGAACAATCAGCGACAGTGTAATACAAGCAATAACACTAAAAGTAATCTGACTGTCTGTCAATATAGTCGTTAAATTATGTGCAGAATAATTAAAGCAATGTATTGAAACAAAACATACCGAAATCATTCCTTCATCTAAATGATGTTGTTTTACATAGTGTTTTAATTCATCTCTTGTAATTGTTTCATTCTGCTGTTCATCTATCGCAAAAAATATATTTACAAATGGTTCCATCGGTTTTAAACAAAAAAACAATGAAAGATTTACTATGAGGAGGCAACAGTTACGTAATATATATATATATATATATATATATATATATATATATATCACAAGTATAGCGATATTAGTGGTCTGTAATCCACATTCTCTAATTACTAACTGACAGTCACATGATGACTACTCAAAACTATTAGTAAACACATACGCTTTGAGTATACGTTAGCATACACTACTAAGTAGACCAACATATTCACAGTGATCTGTTTCGAATCACAAGGATAGGTTGATGGTAAATACAACAGTTTTCACCAAAGATAATTATACCTCATAGCTGTATTTGTTAAAATCTTTTCAATAATATGACACGCTTATAAGAAGTTTTATTACAGTGCATGTGTTTGTATGTATTTTTATTTGTACAGTGAAGAGATGGGATTAGATCAAGTGATGAGGTGATAGTCATCCGCCGAAGACTGATCCTTTATTTTAAGAAGAAAAGAATATGACTAAGTACATACTTGCCTAGCTGGAGTATATTGGTGAACAATGTGTTTCCTTTCAACATGGTTAACAGCATTCTGTTAGAGACTGTAAGTGATTACACTAATCATTCTGCTATTAATCTACTTAACTGACTATACAGACTGTCACGCTGCATAACATAATTACCAGTATGTTGTAATTTGCTTGATAGTGGTCATCAATGCGATTCAGGACATACATTTCGTTCTATCTGGGACATATCAGCTGGATGTGATGAGTTCGTACAGTAACCCATATGGCAACATAGGTCAATCACTTCGACCCAGAATAATAACTGGAAACAAAAAGTATAGGTAATTAGTAACTAGGAGAAACAATAGACATTCAAAGTTTTAAGTTCCAGTTGTATCTAAGATTTTAGTAAGCACATATTTGCCTCCTTAATCAAAGGAATCACATTTTCCTGACTTTTAGATCCAAAAATTCTTCGCACCATTCACAGAGTTAGGTCTATTCCACCTACCTAGAAATACGATTCAGTTAACATGAATTTAACTGTAGAATTTGGAAGTCCTGAAAAGAGTTAATACAAAGAACACTAGGAAATTCAAAGAATCATGAAATTGTAGTCAATCAGTAATCAGTAGCAATATCGACATTCATCTATCTTTCAGATAATGAAAACCATAAGAGAAAACATTAAATTCATAGTCAAAGGCAGCAAGATGACCATTTAAAGTACATACTAACTACAATAACATAAATAACTTATTGAATCTTAATTCACTGGGATAGGTTGATAAACTACCTCAGGAGAAAGTTTCATAGCTCACTTCGTTCTCAGGCTTCATTTAGTGATGTCGTTTAGAATGAAAATGAGAGACTCACCATTACACTAATCAACTCAGGGTATGGAATAAAGCCGAAGAAGCATAACTGAAGCAAATAGCACTTCATGCTGCGTTTGGAATATTCTAGTAGTGTTTACCAATAGCTGGACATGAATTTTCTCGGACAAACACATCTAGAGACGTACAGCTAAGTGATTGTTTGTTTGCAGCACACTGATGTCAATTTACTGTGACTGATTTGTCCTTTTATTTGACTGAAGGGATGAAGGTTGTTTTGAACTGATTGGCTGACTTATATAAAATGCATGGGGATACTTAACTTTGGTTAGTCGATTCGCTGCAACTGGAGGGGTGCTCCTTGCAGCAAATTAGTGCGCTATAAATAACCATGCACAACCAACTACCTCACTTCTTTGTGCAGCACTGGCATAGAGATGATGATGTCTAACATGACACTGAAACGTTTCCCAACTAAAATCCTAACTCACACATAACAACACATTCTGGACATTCACAACCAGGGCTACAAATATTCTCCACAATTTCTGGAGGTTCGTTTTATCAGAAAAAACTACTAAGGCTCTAAATATGCTATGTAGGAAACCCTGTACAATATTACCATTATGAATTATAGATTCTTGTTAGTATTGATGCATACAGATTTGTGACATTGTTGCTTTATGATTTTAGTAAGTTCCAGCTGGAAATTTTAATGTATACAGCTCATTCTTAAATAAGATGATCAAAATAACTAGCACTCATATAGAGAGATGATGACATCTAGAACCCAGTAAGTACTGTAAAAATATAAGAAGGAAGGACGCCATGCTGAAATTCAGTTCTGTTACTTTTTATCGTAAAGTAATGAACCTCATAATCCATGTCTTCATGTATACTGTTAACTGAAAATGCTAAAAACGCTTTGCTATGCTGTCAGTTATTAGTTACGCTAGACCCGTGATTACTCAGTAACAATTCAAGTTCCCATACCTAAAACTATCAAGTTATGATACAAAACAACAAAAGTTAAAAATAAGTTGATCATAACTTATGCAAAGCTATAACGTAGTGGGAGAAGAAGTTAAAGCAAACGGGAAAAAAGTTACTATAACAGTTAAAATGAAAGTTAGGCATGGATAGATTTTCAATATTGTAATTGATTCCAAACCAGATCGACTGGAGTTTCAAGACACTGATTTAGGCTGTTTCACAGACTTGATAGTCTACTTTTTTCTGTATGTATGTGATCAACATTTGGAGACTTCATGGTTCAGTGTCACTTTCTAACCTAGGATCCACTTGACTTTCTTGACATTCATTCCTATGTTAACTAACATAGCATATCATGATAGTGAAGTTTTTATTATATGATATACCTCTTTATTTTTAGGCCATATCACCTAACATTTATGTTCCACTCAAGTCTGTTGCATAACAACAAGGCATTGCCATGAAGAAAACGATTATCAGATACCCGGAATTTTTTCATTCCCTTGATGTTTAGTAGCTATGTCTCATAGCTACGAAGTAGGATAGAGAAATCCTCTGTATAGTTAAGTCAAAACTTTGTAAGTAGTCTCTTATCTCCGCACCTCCACCAGTGACATAGGGTGGCAACAGCCAAATCAACCCCTTTCTAGTTCATCTTAAGATTTTATTGACCCTCTAGAGTTGATTTAGCTTCTCAAGTGAGTGTTTCAACCACTTCACTTACTATCGTTAAGTGAGGTACTAATACAGACCAACCCTTGAGTTACACTTTTGTCTTGCAATCTGAGAAATCCATCACAAACACTCTTGAATTGTCACTGAAGGCCTTGGGAAGACTTTATATTTTCATCATCGTCTTCTAACAGGGCTGTGTCGTCTAACTGATTCGGGTTTACTAAGGAGTTTCCTGTGACGAAGTCAATCCCTGTAGGGTCACATACCGAGAAAGAGACCCTCAAAGGCAGTTGGTGACAAAATTAGGTAGAGACGGAGAGAATGGAAATCCCTAATGGACAACTCTAAAGACAGACAACTAGCCCGATGACTCACTGATACCTTTGCCATGAATACAAGTCTTCAGCAGACTGACATACTTCTCGGATATCCATGTCATTAAGAGATACTGCCATAATACCCTACGGTTGATGCAGTAAAGTACCACCTTCAGTTCGTCAACCTAACTAGTTATAAGTCTCAGCAACTATATCTGTGCCTAAATTCGTAAACATTTTTAGGTTCAGTCACTCATACAAGGCCAAACGTGATTTATTGATTCCATTGATTTCCTAAGTGAAGCTAGCTGTAAACACTTTATCAACTTTACAAAAACAGTGTATTTTAAACATCATGATTACCAAATACCCCAATTTAGGCCAACGGCATAGTAATCCCAATGTTTCTCACTAATTAGGTAGGTGCAAGTATGCAGCACTTTAGTACCATATATCTTTAAATCACTCAGAGTAGAGGAATGTCTTGGTTTACGGAGTAGTGAGAAAGGCAACCAAATATCCATGTATGTAGATTGTTATATTGAACTGTACAATGTGTAGATGATCTGCAAAAAAAGGAACCAACTTATTTTTTTGTAGACAGTTTGAGCTTACTACTGTTGCTCTTGGTATCACGATGATTAGTAGCATTTCACCAACTCTCAAGGTCGATGAAATAACCCTACAATTTTAAGCTACTTATAAGTAGTACAAATTTATTGTGGGAATACTTTTCAGGATTTAAATGAAAGTTTGCCGGTCCCTAATTGTTTTATTTATTTTATTTTAATCTTTATCTTTGGTGGCAGGTACATTCAGCTGATGAGTTTCAGAAACATACATCCCGGATTCCACTGCTAGCCACTATCTGTTAGTAATATCAAAAATGAAAATACAGGTCAGATTGAGGTATCCGCAAAGAAGCCCATATGCTAATACATAATACTGGTCGATCATTTCGATACAATAAATAGCATAAAATCCATAAGATATAACATCGGAAAAATTGATCCCTTTGTTATTAACTATAGCACAGTAAACTGATGTATACCATTTTGGAAATGCAATCACACATCGTAAGATATCACATGTACAACTACTTGATATTTTCCTTCACAGAATGTCTTAAGTATCACTAAAAACATCTAGAAAACGTCAAATGTCAATCCTTTTGGTTTAAATGTACCACTACAAATGTCTTTATGAATCATGAATGCCGCTCAAACATTTCAGTGTTACATGGATCAAATCTTTAGTCGCCTTCATTTTGCCTACACATATATTGAAGACTTATTGTCTACTTATATGAAACGGAAAACACAAGTCATCCTACTATACATTTTCCAAATACCTAACATATATGGATAGTAATCAATCTTGAAAAAATCTGGATTTTGGAAGGGTTTACTGAGCATTCTAAGGTATTTAATCGACAATCCAGTTGTAAAATTGATTTCAGACGAAATTTGAGCTATAATGGATCACCTGTCACCAAATTCACTGAAGAAATAACTGTGCCTTTATCGATCATTCAGTTGTTACTGTTATCTTGTTAACAGCCATGTCTCTGTTTTCAGTCATTGACGGACTTTTTAAGTAGATGCCTAGACTCAATTCACCTGTTCAGTAATTTAAAAAAGTCAAACAGTCGTTAATTCAAAAAGCACTTTTGGTTAGATGAGGTAAAAAAAGGCCC